TGTTGAGTGTTTGCATGATTTATGTCGCTATTTTAGATATATATGATTTCAAACAATTATTGCATGCTATTTTGTTATTACGATATTAATTAGTTTTTAGTCTGTAGATAGTATACTTTTGTAAATAGATGCACGGCCGTATGAAAACCAGGAAACTGATAGGTTACCGTGTTTAAATAAATTTAAATAATAATAATAATAATAATAATAATAATAATAATAATAATGAAACTCAAATGAGTGCAGAAATTTATGGCTTGTTTCACCACCTATTTGAAGATGAAAATACCAGGATGTTTACATTCCAGTATTTAAGGTATCTAAGGGCGTGTCAAAAATTACCAGGGGGGGGGGGGGTGGAATCTAATGAAAAAATAAGTTAAAAGACTGTCACCCCCCATCAAGGACGAGCATGAAATATTTTGGCCCTCCCCTTGGCTGTGATGACACCTCCCCATTCATGACCCCTTCCCATTCCTCCTGCGCAAAATCCATACATATCCAGGTAACATTTATACAGATACAGTATATTGTTTTACATTTTTATAAATATCGTATATATAATATTTAATGATATTAAACACCCAATCAATTTGATTTATTAAAGTGATTGGTTGAATTAGCGTTTTTCCATTATTGGGATTTAATTGTTCCTCCAATTTTCGAACAATTTGCCCAAATGTTTGTTGCCCAATTGGTAGGCCATTTGCCATTGTGAGTCTAGTTTGCAAGCTTCCAGTGTTTTAAAATTGTCTTAATTATGTGTTTATCAAAATTTGATGCTTACACATGTGTTGTAAAATATTTACTCAAGGGACTTCAATTTGAATCACAAATGAGAATAATTTCAATACTCAGACAGTAGCTTTTAATGCAGTTCCCAATGGTGGAAAAATGCGACTTCGACTGGCATTTCCAATTCGGATCGTGTTTAGCTATTTTTGATCGCATTGATACAAGAAAGGTAGCATCCGACAGCTAAAAGCCTGATCATAATTGATATGAAAAATGTATATATTCTTTGTATTTACTGTAGGCACACTCATATAGATATTTTGAATAATTAATGAAAAAAATTCATTAAGTTGTGAAGAATTGCAAAATACAGTCTTATTGTACATCCTGTCACAAATCAATTATTCATTTTAATGTTTTATTTGGTATACTTACTTTATTAAACACACTCCATGGGGCAAAGAAACTTTGTGTTACTCGAACCTCAACACTTTTTAAATGGAATGCAAAGGAAGTGTTATCCATTTGCCTGAGAGATAGGGCCTACATTGTATGTTGCAGCAGAACAACCACCACTTCGACCACTCCAACAACTCCAACCCTCTCTTGAAGACTTTGTAAGTATGTTTAATTCTTAAATGTAACCTATATAGGTTACGGTAACACTGCGGAAAGACGTCTGCACATGCATTAACCTTGGACTGAAATTTCTCAATTACGATACGTAGTTGTGGGTCTTCAATGTTTTTTCGTCAACGCTCACGCTTGGTATATTGCTTTTCTGTTTTCTCCATTGCAGTACGCAACAATGTTTAGCGAAACCTGAGCTTTCGTTGTTTTCAACTAAACTGACTTGCAAATCACTAGTAACAATCAATTCACTGATAAATCGAGATCATTTATTTGCTGCCAAGATTAATTCTTAGAGAGAATAAATCAAGAATATAAAACTGGTTTATTTTTAAAATGATTCAGAGAGAGAAAGAAATAGATGAAGTTTTGGAAGAAACCCCAGAGGAAGAAACCCCTTTTTATGAAGAAACCTCTATTAATGAAGAGATAAGGTGTTGCTTGTGGACTTTGTTAAACATGTCGAACTTACTGTACAGTCCTGTATGCATGCTTTCAGAATATGCCCAGTAAATTAGTTACAGTTGCTGTGATCATTAATGCAATATAAAAAATTTACTTAAAACCTGATTAACAAATTTAAGCACCTCTATATATAAACCCCCCATTTACAAGCCCACAGGTTTTATATTATTGGACAGGTACATATATATTATTAAAAATAATAAATTAATGCATAAATCCAAAATTAAATTATGTTTCCTCAGTATTTCTAAATTGAATAAAGATTTTGTACTGTTTTACATAAACTTTAGCTTTTATAGGCTAAAACAAACCATATCGCCAAAAATGATTGCTTAGCAAATTTGATCTGTATCTTATGGTTTACTATGGCTCACATTGTAAATACGATATAGATCAGCTGTTCCTATATGACTTAAATAATCAATGACAATAAAAATAACACTGTAAGACAAATATCAAAGCTAGCTATGTATAATGTACTGTAATTACTTGCCAATATTCAATAGCCGAGTGTTTCGCAATTTCGGTGGTTTAGCTCATGTTATCCCATGTTTTGAATTTGTTGCTCTTCACCATTTCAGTCGTTATAAAAGCATTGTCATAAAAGAGGACATTGTTATATCTGATGATGATGATGAACCTGGTGAGATAACTCTTGTAGAGAGAAGGTAATCTATTTTTGAACTTGCCTACGGGTAGTTTGTTTTGGACTTGAGGAACGTTTTGGCATGGTTCATTCGTAAGTTAGCTGAATTAGTTTTTGGATGTGCTATCTTTTTCCCATTTTTCCCAATTTTTTTCCACTTTCGGCTCAGAAATTGTTATTTTTACCGCGCGTATGAAAGAAATCAGATGTTGTTCTTTACTTTTTATATTTACATGATCTTTCTCAACTTTCTAGCGTCGGTTATGTGTCACTGCAGTCTATTTTGTTAGACATTCGGTCTAAGGAGGTAGATGAGTATTCATTTGTAAACTAGGTTTTTCTTTATATCAATAACTTCATTTTTATTCCTTGTATTACTCATAGTGTCATATTACCACAAAACATTTTGCATTTGTAAATATTTATAAATTAACTAATAAGCTTTAGCAATACTTGTATGTAAAGTCATGCTAATAAAGCCATTTAATACTGTTACTGTTAAAAAAATAATTTCGAACGCTTTTTGATATAATTAATGGTATAAGAAAAAAATTTTCTTAACCGGCAAAATTTAGCATTTATTGATCGAAAAAAGGGGTTTGACCCATGTTGTAACAGCAATTTGTCCAAAAAAAATTTATTTTTTAACCTTAGTTAAACTGATGTTCGAGCCGAAAAATTGTTTTGACCCTTTTTTTAAACTCCGGAAAAAATTACCGCCGCTCGCCAAAATTTTCTGGAAAAATATGGCCCCGGGCCCCCGAAATTCTCTGATAGGCCCTGGCTACTATGTTTTCAAGGACATGAACTTTGAGAATAAATCGACTAGATTTAGAGTCGCTAGATAACAACGATTCCATATATATATAAACTATCTAGGTTTCATCAAGTTTTAAGAATTATATCTAGAATTTAGTCTCTACCAAAATTTATCATTCAATTAATATTTTACTATTAATATGACTCAAAATATAAACACTTTAATGATATTATTTTTTTCTTTTTAACTATTGCAGCTACGAGAAGTATTCGAGTCGATTTGGAATCGCCAGATTACAAAGAATCCAGATATATGTAATTAAATAGTCTGTTCAACTGTTTCATCAAGTTTTTGTTATTACGTTATACCAGGAATTTATCTTCTGTCATGGCTAGATGCAATATATATATATATATATATATATATATATATATATATATATATATATATATATATATATATATATATATATATATATATATATATATATATATGAATGGGTGTGAGGTACCATGTCTGGATAGTGTATGAACTTTGCTATAAGATTTCTTGAGGCATAAAGATACACAAACTATATTTTCCAAACGTTTCGCCTTTTACGGCTTCTTCAGTGGAATGTTTTTTACAATAATATTTCCTCCTATTTATATGAAACTAATTAAAATACTAAATTTACAATGAGTATGCTAATGTATATAAAAATATGCAAAACATGCAATTGATTTATTGTCCTGTAGTTTAAAAATACTATACAGGGTGTCCCAAAAAAAACGAAAACTATTGAAATCGCTTATTGTTAAATTTGAATGCCCTACCAAACAGCTGGACGTAATGATGCGTAAAATATTGACAAGGTGCATGTATTAGAATTTAGTTAGGAATATCTCCTGCTAAAGTGCGCGATTTTCTGCTCCTGGGAATTAAAAACAGCTTCTTAAACAGTTTCTTTATGCATAAAATTTACTTATGTCAATCATTTATGCACTCGTGGGAACCAACAGAGCGCTAAGGCATTCAAATTCAAACAATTAAATTGCTATTGGTGATTTCAATAGTTTTCGGGTTTTTTGGGACACCCTGTATAATGTTAATAGATTAAAATAATTCAAACATGCAACTGATTTGTTGTCCCGTAGTTTAAAGTAATATACAATGTTAATAGATTAAAATAGTTCAAACACTAATTGTTCTACCAGTACAACCGTTCATCAAGTCTCCAGAATGTTTTTGTATTTCAAAAAAATATAATAATATAGCAAAAAATATAATAAAAATTAAATTTATTGTGTTGCCATGGCAACACTGACTTAATCGCGAGCCTGCGTTCAGTCACAGATTCAGTATTAATCAATTACTAATACTTCATGTTAAATCAATGTTTGGACTATAAATTTCTTAACAAAGAAAATAAAATATCCAAATACCAGTTTATTAATTAACATTCAGAAATAAAACTGTTTTCCGCCGGTACCGGTGTCGTATGCAGTGTTTCTTATGTACGCACACGCTTTCAAAATGGCTTCCTGTGTGACCTCAATGTTTTGTTACAATGTTGTTTTTCTCAAGTAATTTCTGCTTCAAATATAAAACATGGTGATATAATGACTTTTATACTTGAAGTATATCATCTAGTATATAATGGGGTAAAATATGTAGAAAATAAGGTTTTGAAATTTATTAAAGCTATATATGTTCTTAAACTAAAGGTTTCATTATTGGGAATTTTAAACCTTGTATGCTATACACTGGATGATAGAATACTTTCTATAATACTTCAGAAAAACTTCATGTGGTGATAGAGTTCTGTCCTGGTGGAAACCTACGAAATTTTTTACTCAACAGTAGAGTCTATCCTTCAACTGAAAACTCATCGAATTATATCAACATGACATCAACTTTAAATCATCGTCAATTGTTAAAAATTGCTGTGGATATTTCAAACGGAATGGCTCATATTTCTTCTCAGAAGGTATTTAGTTGTTTTAATAATGTGTTTAATTATGAAACCAAATTTTCCAATCAATTTATTAAATTATTTGATTATTATTGTGGCAAAACCTTAAAATGTATACTATAGTTTCCTTAATTCTCAATATTAATTCTTTAGAGAAAGTTTCTCAAAGAATCAATATTTTATGAGAATTCAGAAAACTATAGTATACATGCACATGCATGCACAATCACCCAGGTTAAAAATTTCCTGGTTATTCTAAATTAAACCTTGCATGGGGTAACTTAATGTTCCTGGTTCAATATATAGTCCGGGGGCCGTTTGGTCGAAATCCGATTATAGCTTAACCCTAAAATTCAAAGCAAATTTCCTAACAATTAGTTTTTTTAAATTTGGGAATATTTCTTTATAAATGGAATGTCTGGATCAGTAGGAGTTCTTGTTTTAACGTGCAGAAATATATAAACTAAATATATAAAGTATTTAAACCCAGGGTTTAATAGTGCTATAATCCAGCTTTGAACAACAGGCCCCTGGTTAATGTATATACAGGGTGTTTAAAAATTTTTAGAAATCAAGCATATTGTTGAAATTTGAATGCCATTTCAATTGCACATATGCTGAACCTTGATGCGTGAAATATTGATGGAGTGCATATAATAGAAAAAGGATACCTTTATAAATCAACCATTGTTATAATTTGATCCTGGAGCACTTTGCTAAGCCCACGAGTGCGTAACATGCGATCTACGGACAATATGCATTGCAGATTGTTCCCAGGACCAGACAATCTTTTGTTTAAACGTTATTTCAAATTCTAAAGGTCTCCTTTTTCTGACATGTGCTCCCCATCAATAATATTTCACGCACTACGTACGGATCAGCATAATGTACAATTGAAAAGACATTCAAATTTTAACAATATGGTTGATTTCTAAAAAAACCTGATACCTTCGCGGCTAATTTGAATAACAAAGGTGTCAGTTTTTTTACTCACCCTGTATACCATTTCCTTTTTGATGCCTTTTCGTCTTTACATTCATTTCTTAATCCATGCATGCGTAGTCATGCAAAGTCGCTGTGATTCTTAACGAATATTATTGTATTATCAGTTCGTTCATCGCGATTTAGCCGCTAGAAATATTCTCATTGGCGAAGGAAATATGGCAAAGGTGTCTGATTTTGGTTTGGCAAGAGATATCAGTGCAGCTGAGGAATACATACGAAATAATCAGGTATGAATTATTTAATATCTTACCTTCTGGAATGGATACTGGCATTTTTGTACACGGGCAAGATCAGCAATTGAATTTAAGTTAATTCATTAGTATATAGCATACAATGTACAGTCTTCAACCTGTTAGAGGATGTTCCGTTTTATTCCTTAAATATACAACCAGTCACAGTGCGACTTTTCATCCATCTTCCATATATAGTGGAGTGTAAGAATTGAATTTTTTTTCAGGATTTTATTCAAGTACCTACTTAATGCACGGTGTTCAAATTTTCTGAATGCCTTGCTGTGATATCGGACATCAATTTAAAGATCGAAATTTATACAATTCACGGGAATTAGTTAAAACACGATACTGATACAGGAAAATAAAAAGTCTTTTCTGATTTCCCTTAAAATTATAGTGTAATGTCTGGTTTTCACAGTCAACCAAAAATAATAATCTTCATCAACCATTATTGTACCACTTCATGCAAATTATATAGCCTAACCGCAATATCTAATTAAAATACGCAGATATAGTACTTATATAATATACAATTGGGGAAGATATATGTAAGTGTGTCGTTAAAGTTTAGTTTACTTATTAAGTGGTTATTCGGTTTTGTAGAATTTACTTCCTGTCAAATGGATGGCATTGGAAAATTTACTTCACGGACGTTTTACAACAGCCAGTGATGTGTAGGTTTATATGTTCATTCTATCACCCAAACATGTTTTTTTCTTAATTTTTATGAGGTGATGTAAAAACAAGACGCCTGCTCCGGCGTTAACACTGGCCTGAAAATGGCAACTTTCGTGGTAGGGTGTAATGTAGTGTAGTAGAGAAGTAGACAGGGACACAGGAGGCTCTGGCGTACCCTCCGCCTATATGTCTATGGGCAACTCAACCTGACAAGCCAGGACCACTGTAACTGATCATCAACTATCAACCGTAAATAATTATGGGCCAATAATAGCGATCAAGAATTATATAGTCCTTGATTTTTAATGCCATTATATGGCTCGTTTTAGGTGCTAAAGAGCAGGGGCGGCGGAACAGATTTCATTTAGGGGGGGGGGCTAAATTTTTTTCCGTGACCTCCCCCCTCCCGTCGCCAAAATCTTTCGGTCAGTGTACCATTTTAGAGGTACAAAAAATTTTCCGGCCATATACAGGAAAAGGGACTAAAAAAACTTTTTCCGGACCTATAACAAAAAACTTTTCCGGACAAACACTATTTTTAAACAAAATATAGCAAATTTTTCCCCTTATACTTAAATTTTCAAAAAATACCCTAAATTTTTCCTTAATTATCAAAATTTTTCCAGAAAAAACAGAATTTTCTGGGGTGGCTAACACTTTTACTTCTGGGGGCTTTAGCCCCCTAGCCCCCCAGTTCCGCCGCCCCTGCTAAAGAGTTGATGGACATAGACGATTCTTCTAAAAAATATGCCAATTTGCTTCCACCTATAAGATAAACTGATCCCAACCCAAAGCCCTTCTCTAACCCCAACCAGTAAAAATCTAATAAACAATTTGAGAATTAAGAAAGTGGGGAGAAAAGTTGGATCTTGTTCCAAAAACGAATTGAATAGTACCATGTTTCACTTCGCCGCACGCAATCCCACCTCGCTGAATACAATCGAAAACATACATTTTATTGCGACCAGCGAGCGAGCACCAGCGAGCGAGCACCAGCGAGCGAGCTGGGAGTATCCTAATCTCAGATATGGGAGAAAAAATTGTGTTCAACACCTCTTTCCGCTTGAATGTGTATTCAACACCCTTTGCGGGCTAATTTTATCCGTATATGGAACTCGTGTCCATATATGGCATGCCTCATGGAAAATTTGCCTTTGTAGTTCGTACTGATCGTGCTGTTTCGTGCATTCTTTGCATTCTTTGTTCAGTTTTGTGATTATTAAAGAGGAAAATCCGGCTTTTAAACTTTCAGGTAACTGATAGTTTTTTAAATTTTAAACATTTACAATATATATTTGTTCATGCACTAAATTTTTTGCATACCATTGTCTAGCTAGTGTAGTTTTGAAACTTGTATAGCGCAGTTCGATTTAATAGTTGTGTATCAACTTCATGTGCAAATTGTGCAAAAACATCGGCAAACGTGCCAAAAAATCCTCTCGAAAAAAACCCAAAATAAATGTGATTTGTCAAGGGTCTATCTTGGGGCCTCTTTTATTCATATTGTACATTAATGATATCGACGACTATCTCATTAGTGCACAAATCATAAAGTATGCTGATGACACAGTTCTGTTCCTGGCTGGGCAAGATATTTCTGAAATTGAAAATCAACTTACAAGTGAAATGCAAGTTGTTGCTAAATGGTTAGATGAGAACGATCTAATCATAAATCTCAACAAAGGAAAAACTGAGTCTATGTTACTGGGAACTAGTCGAAGAATACAAAATAACCCCATAAGAGTATATCTAAACGATAAACTGATCAATTTCACAACCAAATATAGATATCTTGGAGTTTTGGTGGACCAGAATGTAAACCTGAAAGAACATTTTGGTCAGGCTTTTAGGAAAGCATCTGGCAGGTTAAGGTTGCTTAAGAAAATACGATCTTCTCTAACTATGGACGCTGCTGCATCTATATACAAATGCATGATAATGCCACTACTAACATATTCCAGTGTTGTTACTCTAAACTTGAATGCCACCCAAACTTCACGAATTGAAAATCTCCAGGATCGAGCTTCTAGAGTAATAAAATCAAGTGAATCGGCAGATCTAAGACTACCTGACCTGATGAGCTTTGCAAAGCTGCAAACGTGTTTCCTGGTGAAACAATGCATGGACAGGAATGTGTGTAGTAACTTTCACAATTATTTTGAACGGTTACAACATGTAAAGAACACAAGGAACAACGGAATAAGTGTCAGGATTCCCAAAATACGCTTGGAATCCACAAAGCATGCCTTTTATTATAATGGAGCAATTGAATTCAACAAATTGCCCAAAGATATTAGAGAAATTGACAGTTTTATGCTTTTTAAACGAAAACTGAAAGAGAACCTTAGTTCATTATAATCCTTTGCAGAATTGACTGCAGTTAGATTTTTAATATTTTTAATATATTGACTTTTTATACTCATAATTTTAGTAGTTTTAGGTAAACAGGACATGCGTTGATAGCAGTGAATAGTCACTGAAGCATTTTTTATCCTGTGTAAATATTTTTTTAATAATAATAATTAATAATAAGAAAAATTATTGCCTAGCTAGTGTAGTTTTGAAAATTTGTTTAGCAGTTCGATTTGCACTTAATGGCAGTTTATACATTGAGTTATTTATTTGTTATCTATGACCGTTTTCCGAGTGTATATACAGTTGCACTAGCTGACAGTTGTTTAGATTTCAGTTGTTATTTGTTATTTATGACCATTTGTTGTAATCTATTTCGGCCTGACCTTGTTGATATTCCAAATTATATTTTTGAGGTATTAAGGTAGAACATAATAGAATTGTATTGTTTATACTTAGAAAACGCGTTGTATATATCAGTGTATACAGGGTGTATAAAAAAAAGCGCAATCCTCGACTGAAATGTAAATTGCTAAACAAATAATAGACGAAAACGTTAAAGTTTACATTCATTTTAAAGCGTAGCCATTCAGCTTTCTAACAGTGGGTTGTTTCTTAAATTTGACTCACTGGTTCGCGGGTAATAATACTTTACGTTATTGCGGTTGGAGATTAAAAAATTGAGATGGAATAACAAATCGTTCACATGAAAATAACTGATTTTTTCATTAAAACAAAAAAAAGTTGGATTTTATTAAATGGATTGTAACAATAAGTATATTACGGCATTTCTTCCACTATTTTTAACTCAGTTTGAAACTTCAAATGCGATATAATTTTGGCTTGGACCATCTAAGCTGACTGACATCAACTTGCTATAATTTCTGTTTACATTACATCGCAATTCGATGACACTCTGGCTCAGACACCAGAATGTTTTGACGATTTTTAGCATTCGTTTAGATTTTCAAACAACCTGGTCTCTTTTAAAATACTTTTAATTTGTTCTTACGTGGTTTTCCAGATGTAGTGACGACAATATTAAAGTTTAAAGAAGAAAATTCTAACATTTAAACTGACTAAACAATAACATAGTAAACTTGCATAATTAAACAGCAACTAAAAATGATAGGTTTTACTAAATCTTTTCCTGTGCAATTACCACTAGCATTGGAGACAAGGATAATAGTTTGTTTGAAAGAAAAAAGAACAGGCTTTGAAGTAAGCCTAAAAGCGTTTAACTAGAAATAGTATTTCGAAAGTTATTAAGCACAAAAGATGAATTGCGTTTATTTTGATACACCCTGTAGTGTCGTTCGAGAAGAAATCAGACAAAATGCCCACGTCTATATTTCCTATACGATGTTCAAACTGTCATTTTCCGTTGCTTTAGAAGCCCCCTAGCTTGTATTCGTACGGCCAAAAGGTTTTAAAATCGTCTGTATTTTTAACAAACTGCAAGCTTGAGTTCTCACAACCGTTGAGCTTGCAGTGAAGAACAGCTGCGAAATTTTCCAAAATTTCGTTCGTACAACTGTGACTTTTGCGCCATTATGTAAACATTGATGCTAATAGCCGCTGGTCGATAAAAGGAGATACATGATGGCTCAAAATAGCGCGAAAATTGAAAATAATAGAGCGAAAATTGGGAAATATTTACAATATTTTGCTGTGGAAGTCTTGTGCTTAAAAGTCGACCGTACTCAAATTACGCAGCAAATGATAAAAACACATATTTATGATCAATATTCATAAAAGAGTCCTTAGTCAGCGCAGTGTGTTGCGGGCGCATAATTTCCCTAAATTCTACGCCCACGATGCGTGGCGCTGACTGTCCTTCATTTCTAGCCATGTCATTAAACGAACGATCTGTTCGTAGAAATGCATAGAAACTGGCCTGATCATTTAGAGACAGCACATCATGAATTATCTTCTGATATTGAACGAATATTATAATCACATATCGTTCCACGTAACAATGAGCTAATTCTCATTGGTTGAATTTACACTGCGAACGGACTTATACCCGCAAGGACAATACAATTATAAGTTGTTCGAAACCATTGAGCATTGTCAAATATTCAATATTTTAGACAGGACTCGACACTTGCCCATGTTAAACTCCAAAACAAATGTTCAGATTGACAGGCAGGCATTACTGCAATTCGTTGAAAAAGTCCGGACCATTAAACCACAACTCACAAAGTTAGGAAACAAAACTCCCTCAATACGTGGAGTTGGGATGTTCGCTTGGACACTATTGCAAGGAATAATAATTTATAGAAACGCCGAAGTAACAGATTAGAGGTTAACAATTAATGCATGGTTTACTTCGTTACTTAAGCTGAGATACCTTTCCTCCTCTAACAATTAATTATTCAATAGTCCCACTCAGTACACACAAATAAACGGAGAATAAAAGATTAAGTACAACTGATAAAAATTGCTGAGAGGTTGCGGTCTCATGTAACTCGTCCATCGTGACTACGGTTGAAAGGCATCAAGGCATTATTAAAGTATATTTGAATTTAATATTTCCATAAAGACAAGGATAAAAAGTGCAATTTCCATCGCTATTCACTATTCATGCAGAGAATGTCAAAAAGTATGTGTATGCCTAAAACCAAATAACACATCCCAAAGACTATATAAAACTTCGGTAGTTTTGATTCCATTTATAGCCATTTGCTAAACAATGACCATGTTTTCATATATGCATGTTTAATTGTATCCTTGACATATAAAACAAGCTATCCTTAGCTTATTAACATAACTGAATATTCGTTCGTTTTCGTTGAGTTGCGCATGTTAATTAACTACTTGCATTCGACGCGACCAAAATTCGACGTATAAAACGGGCCTAAATCGTACCCATATAAACATCACCAAATAAGTCAACATTGGGTTCTAATTTCTCTAGAACATTAATCTGTAGCTATATAAATTTTGTGTTTTCATTGATGTAGATGGAGCTACGGTATTCTTCTTCATGAAATTGTAACTCTAGGTAAGATATATTATTATACATTTAATATGTATTCTCGTTTCTAATTGGTCAGAAAGCACCAGCTAATTTTCAGTATTCGGCATTTATTACGTATTTTCCGCCGATGACGTCATCAGCGTCCAATAATTGTTTTTTTGGATCGAACTTGCATCCAAAAAAAAATTATTGGACTCTCTCGTGCCCAAGCCCTTGCGCGTCCAAAAGCTTGAACCTATAAGCGCGCGAAAAAAACAAACAAACAATGGCCTACAGCAGATTTGCTTCGCTGAATGAAAGTGAACTCTCCAAATTATTGGCAGATAAGGATAGTGAAAGCACGAAAAAAGCCACAAAGGGGTAAATAGAAGTAGAAATAGAATATTTAGCTGACCTTTGACTTTGTGCAAGCTGTTTGATATTGAAATTGTACTTTTCCTACCTCAAGAACAGGAATCGTTTTATACGTTTCTCATGTCTTTATTAAATGTATAAGAAAACAATTATTGGATTCGGCTTTCGCACGATATCAAGAATTATTCAGACCTCGGTCTATGTTATCCGCCTCAGCTTCGCTTCGGCAGATAACATTGACCTCGGTCTGAATAATTCTTGATATCATGCTCAGCCTCATCCAATAATTGCTTATTAACAATTGCATGTAGCATTGAACACTGATGGTAACAGGCAGCTTTTGTATATTAATAATGAGTTCGTATTTTTCGCAATAAATAATTTAAATATTAAATTTGTATGTCATACGATACGCATTTCCTTCGTTACTAATCGTTTTTCTGACTATTCAATACATTTAGGAGAAGAGCCATATAAAAACATTTCTCCACATAATATTGCAATTCACGTGGGATCTGGATGTCGAATGTCACAGCCATCGCAATGTTGTGATGAACTGTAAGTTTTCCTATCAAAAAAATATATGTTTTCAATGTTAACTGCAGTTTCATTTGCATTATTAACATTATTACAAAAGTTCGAACAATTCATAATAACGAGAACTAATTTTTTTATGTCGGTTTTCAGGGTATGCCCTCCCAAGTCAATTTAAACAAAGATTCACGCTAATCCCATGTGCCATATTGTGCTTCATTAATCCTTAAGTAGATTATGTTGTCTTTGAACAAATTACATTCACAACACGACATTGCCACACACCGGGGGCCCCACACCAGTCTAGGATTTTCGTCAGCGTGCATATAGTCAGTTTACGTGGGGTATCTGACAAGTCTATCATACACCATCAACAATTTTGTGCTCAAAGGCGTTGTTTTCCTGAAGCATGGAGTATTAATACTTATCATTATCCTAGCATGGAATAGGGTTTTGGGGACTATGTAGTCACTTTCATGTTGCTGGACTGTAGTTTTCGTCGTTAATTACTGATAAATTATTAAGCATTGCATTCCTCAAACCAATATAGCATGCCAAAAATGTCTAATACTCAGTATTATTTCTGCTTATTGTGTCTAACTTCATAAATTGTTTCTTGCCTCTTTTGCCGCGATACTTAATTAGAATTAAATGCAAACTCAAATACACTGCAATACAGAGAGTGTAAAAATTAAAACAAGTAAATCCAAATTTGACACGTTATCGTGAGTTAGGTATAATGTTTATATAGATTTCCTGTTTTCATGTCCTATTTAAAAAACGAGCGGGAGTGTTTTATTAGGTTTAAAGCCACGAGCGCGCAGCGCGAGTGGCTTTAGACCTAATAAAACACGACCCGCGAGTACAAATGACATTAATATATTCAGTCGCGTTCTCAACGTTAACGGACTGAATTTTTTCCATATGATAAATATACAAGATGAATATTTAATTCATACTAAACCCATCGTATTTTTCGCGCTTATAGCTTTTATCTTTTTGCTTTGTCGGCGGACAACCTTAATGCAATAAGCTGGATATAAAATACTGTAAACAATATAGGACCTAACACTGAACCTTGTCGGACACCACTTCTAATAGTCTTTTCCTCAGATTGAACATCTGCACATTTTACCATTTGTTTTCTATATTATATAGATAGATAATTTTCGAACCATTTTTTGCCCACATCCAATCCCATGCATAATGATCTAATTTTCTT